CATGTCAAGCACTGCTCTTCAGTGGTTTTGACTCCGGGCTGGTGGCTGCCTGTCTTGTTCCATCACAATTAGCCAAGCGGGGAGTGTATTTAGAAAGCTGACAGCAAGTATTTGGGGAATTAATGATCACTGATTTATGAATATTGAGTGGCATCCCAGTAACATAAGCTGAGCAGTCACTCACAGATGGATCGCGTTCTCCCTCCCATTATCATCCCTTGCAGTCACTCAAAGGCGGTTAAATGATTTTGATTTATGACCTTAACCGACAGAGCTTGGTACATTTGCTTTATCGGTGTGTAAATTCCTCCGATGTAATTCCCTGCCCCTCCAAAGAGCTCATTTAACGTCAACATTATGCATGAGCCGAGCAGTCTGGAATTCTCAGATCTCTTACTTCATCTCATTAAATTTGCACCAAACAATCTTGCAATTAAAATTTCATATAGATTCCCTACTTATGATTGGCATTTGGCCTTGGTTAAAAACACACTTGAACGGTGTCCCCCCACCCAGAAGACTCTAAAGTGGCTAGATTGATCTTGACATTGTTTGGTTGCCCAATGATGACGGGGAGTCTAATGTTCCAATTAGCATTTGTGGCCACTTTGGAGAGGGGGGGTCTGCTGCATGAAAATCTACACAGAGGTGTACCTAGGGACCCTCGGTATCAGTGCCCCTCCCTCCCCCCAAAAAAAGATCTATGCTTTACCAAAGTGCAAGAAAGACAAGAAGCTTCTGCATTTGATCTTGTTGTGACAGCTGTGTCACGTCACCTCACACATACCTGCCAACATTTATCCGATAAAAATAGGGACGCCCTATATAATTAATAATAATAATAATAATAATACAGTGGTACCTCGGGTTAAGTACTTAATTCGTTCCAGAGGTCCGTTCTTAACCTGAAACTGTTCTTAACCTGAAGCACCACTTTAGCTAACCTAACCTGAGGTACTATTTCTGGGTTAGCGGAGTCTGTAGCCCGAAGCGTCTGTAACCTGAGGTACCACTGTAATAATAATACTATCGTTTATTCCCCACCCATCTAACGGTCGCACCAGGCACTCTGAGTGCCTTCCAACATATATAAAAACATAATAAAACATTAAACATTTTTTAAAAACTTCCCTATACAGTGGTACCTCAGGTTACAGACGCTTCAGGCTACAGACTCTGCTAACCTGGAAATAGTACCTTGGGTTAAGAACTTTGCTTCAGGATGAGAACAGAAATCGAGCAGTGGCAGTGGGAGGCCCCATTAGCTAACGTGGTGCTTCAGGTTAAGAACAGTTTCAGGTTAAGAACGGACCTCCAGAACGAATTAAGTTCTTAACCCGAGGTACCTCTGTACAGGGCTGCCTTCAGGTATCTTCTAAAGGTTGCATCGTTACTTATCTCCTCAGCTTAATGGTCACATAACTCCATACCCTCCAACAATCTCTGATGAAAATAGGGATGTCCAAAGGAACAGCAGGACATTCCGGGATCAAATGAGAAACTGGTACAGCTTCTGTAAATCTGGGATTGTCCCTGGAAAATAGGGACAATTAGAGCGTCTGCACACACATATATGGCATACACTCCATCATCTGATTTTTGTGCTCCCAGTGAGGGCTGGTTTTGCAGATTTCTGTATTGAGAAGTTTTTAATGTTTGGTGTTTTATTATGCTCTTATATGTGCTGGAAGCTGCCCAGAGTGGCAGCCAGATGGGTGGGATGTAAAGAATAAAATGATGATGATGATTCCCTAGGACTCGAACCCACAACCCCAAGAACAAGAGTCTCTTTTTTTTTAAATGATATTTATTGAAGTTTCACATGAAAAGTGACACACCTGTCACATTCTGAAACCTCTCTCTCTCCATTGGTGTTAGATTTTTCTCTAAAACCTTAGTTTTTAACTTGTTCAATTTAAATCCTGCAACCTGACCAAATTCTTGAATCAGTTCTAAAACCCTTTTGGTACTAGATTCTGGCTCCTGTAACGTCAATACTAAGTCATCTGCAAATGCTCTCAATTTGTACTGTTTAGCTCCGACCTGTATACCTTTAACCAGCTGGTCCCTTCTAATCATATTCAGCAAAACCTCCAGGACCGAAATAAAAAGTAGTGGGGAAATTGGGCAACCTTGTCGTGTCCCTTTTTCTATTTTAAGTTCTTCCGTCACCACATTATTTACAATTAATTTAGCCTTTTGTTCTGAATAGATTGCACTTACACCATTTTCAAAGCCTGTAGGTTCTTCTTCATAAAGCTCCAAGAAATATTGTCAAAAGCTTTCTCCGCGTCCACAAATATCAAAACTGCTTTAGTATTTATATTCACTTCTAGTTTTTCCAAAATATCAATTATATTCCTCAAATTGTCAGACAAGTGTCTTCCTGGGAGAAAGCCCGCTTGATCTTTATGAATCTCTTCCATCAACATTTTTTTAAATCTCTTAGCCAAAATGTCTGCAAAAATTTTGTAATCCACACTGAGTAATGATATGGGACGGTAGTTCTTAAGCTGTGTCTTTTCAGCCTCTGTTTTTGGTACAAGTGTAATATAAGCTTCTTTCCACGACTCTGGTGCTCTTTTCCCCTCCATTATTTCATTACAGACCTCTTTCAAAGGTTGTATTAACCATTCTTTCAAGGATCTGTAATATCTAGAAGTCAATCCATCCGGTCCTGGAGACTTAACCAATTGCATGTTTTGAATGGCACCTTCTATCTCCTGTTCAGTTATTTTATAGTTCAACATTAATTTATTTTCTTGAGAGATTTTTTGTAATCCATTTGTTTTCAAAAATTGATCTAGATCAGTTCCTTTCAGTGGCCCTTGTGTATATAGTTGTTTAAAGTACCTCTGGAAACAATTTCTGATCTCAGCTGGGTTCTGTATATTCCTTCCTTCCACTTCTAAATTCGTAACTGTATTTAATTTTTGTCTTTTTTCATTTGCCAAGCCAACAGTTTCCCACATTTGTTAGCCGACTCAAATGTCTTTTGTCTCATTTGTTTAATTTTCCATTCTATTTCCTGATTCATCATTTTCATGTATTGTACTTGGTATAGCTTTAATTCTCTCAGAATCTCTTGAGATTTTGGATTTGTTCTCAATCTTTTTTTCACTTTCCTTTATTTTCTCCAATATCTTATCCTTCTTCTCATTTTGAGTTCTCTTCTTTACTGCATTCTGTTGTATCAGAAACCCTCTCATAACCGCTTTACTTGCGTCCCAGATTACTCTTTTTTCCACGTTCGTATTCATATTTATCTCAAAATAATCTCTCAAGGTTTTTTGGGCCTTCTTTAACACTTCTTCATCTCTAAATAAGGTGTCATTCATCCTCCATCTGAAGGGCCCAAGAACAAGAGTCTCATGCTCTACCAACTCTCCCCATCCAGGAACGGCCAATGCTGCTATATCAGTTGCAGCTGGTTGAAGGACCTCCCATGACAGATTTGGATCCAGGAGCAGCCCCCAACTTGCTTCCTTTTAGTTCTTACGATTTATTATTGTTTACACCTGCTTTGGTTTTTTTTATTTGAGTCATTTTCTGTGTTTTCCTTTATTTCGCCACCCCTGCGGATTCTTACGGAAGGGCAATAGTTGTGGAAAGATTGTGCAAAATAAAGAAATCAGTCTCCCTCTCTTGACTCCTACAGCAGCAACCTAGAGTGCAAGAAAGTTAGAGGAGGATACCCTTCCCCCTTTAAAAGGTGAATGAATATAAAGCCTGCTTTTGTGAAGAGCAGAGCCTTTTTTTAAAACGCAAGCCCATTTACAATTAAGATCTAACTGCTTCCAGACTGTGACGCCAGTTGCCAAATTGCAGCATGGTTCACTTTCGTTATTAGCCCTGGGGGATCTTTAGAGAGAGAAATTCTTTGGGATACAGGCATTTGGCAGGATTTCTGCCTTCCCTTTCTGCAAAGAGGTCAGAGCATATGCTTTTATCATGAGTTTGAAGCAAATCCTTGATGGACTAGCCTTTGTTCTTCTGACATTTATTACTGATAGGCCAATGCTGGCACATAAAGGGGAGAGGGATGCGTCTGCAAAAGGAGGCTGTATATCAACACCTGACACGTTAAAATTAGCAGGGCTGCACCAAACCCTATTTTACTTTTAGAAAATCAGAGGCATCACTCCCTTTCTTTCTCATGTTCCTCCCCAAAGAATATGTGAGAGGTGTTACAGGAATTCTAAGGTCTCAAATGTAGAATAAAGGTTGATAATTGCATGAGGTAAACGCACATACATAAGTAAATAAACCACAGGTCTAAAATAGTATAGGAGAGCAATCCAAGAGCCATCTTGGCTTTCCTAAAGACTCTAAATATTTCCTCTGCCTCCTTAATCCTCCTTGCCTGAGAACACAGAGGGAGATAGCAATCGGGGAAGTTCCTGAAGGGATTCCTCTCCTAAATCTATGAACCTTCTTTGTATTAATTGTCATTGTTTGCCCAGATGCTCTGCATTGAGGGATGTCTGACGGGCATCCAGATTGTCTTATCAAATGCTAATGTTTTGTGTAAACTGTGTCTGGAACTATGTAAAACTTGCTAAATCCTCAGGAATATCACACCTTGGCCTGCCTGAGCCACAGTAACCCCACTTTATGTGTGATGTAATTTCTGATGGTTTGTAGAGGGGGTGTCCTCCTTCTCCACACCAAAATGCAAACTCTTAAAAGAGATGTTGCTTCTTGGTTTGGGGTCTCTCTTGCCTCCCTGCCTCTGTTGCAACAGAAAAATAAGGATCTGCCTTGCTTTCACTGCATCCTGCCTCCATCCATTCATCTCTGACCAATCATGGACTTAGGGGACTCAGTCCCTTGGAAAGTCGGGCAGCAAAAGTCAACCACCCCTATTTTTTCTGTATCAGAGGGGAACCCAAAACTAGTCCAATGTGAGGCTAATGAATGGGCATGCTCAGTTTCATGGAATGCTCGCAAAGTGTGGCGAGGAGAACATGGGAAATGATGGTGGGAAGACGAATGGAACAGGATAGCTCATTCAGTAAAGCATGAGACTCTTAATCTCAGGGTTGTGGGTTTGAGCCCCACGTTGGGCAAAAGATTCCTACAGAAACAGAAGCAGAAGAGGAAGCAGGAGAGGAGGGAGGCCAAGAGGCAGAGATGAACCAGGCTGCTGAAGAGTCATAGATACCTCCCCCTCCTGCTGTAACAAGCTCCCCTCCCCCCATGTCTCTCAGAACCAGGAGAGGCATGAAAAGGGCAGAGAAGAAGTTAGCCCCATGTAGGCGCAGTCTCAGATTACTTCAGGGAAATCATGGAGAGGAGGGGACTTATGCAGTTGTGGGGAGGTGGGGACCTTCAGTCTCAGCAACTGCTTCATGGGGACAAGACCTCCTGGAGATGAGCTGCGTGCTCAGTAGGCCTGACACTTCTGTGCAGAACCTGCTTTTGCTAATCAAGAGTTAACTCCACTCGCTCGGTGTGATTTACTGCAGCCTCCTGGCATCACACGACTCCTTTGCCAAACGTCCACTCAGGGAAGGTGTGTCAACAAGGACGCCCAGCCTCCTCACACCTTAAGTAGCCCTCCCATTACCAGGTACTGCTACAGGTGTGGGAGTCACATGCCCCTTGTCCACCTTTTGCCCTCCGACCTCTGAACAGCCATACAGGGCTAAGTCCTCCTGCTTGTCACGAGGTGCCCCATCTTGCAAGCCTTCTCCCACTTGCCTCCATGTCTGTCTTTCCCTGACTGCTGGGACCCTCCCCAGCTTCCTCCTCCTCAGACCAGGCATGGAGTGTGAGGGCATTCCATGATCCTTCTTAATTTGCACAATAACTATATGAGAGGGTGGGGCAGATGACATAGAGTGGGGTGGAATTTTCCAGCTCAACCATGTTACAAAATCTATTTTAATAAGGGGTGCAGAAGATGACCCCCCCAAACCTATTAAACATTTAGTCAGCCTCCATTTCAAGCTGTAATAATGTGAGAGGGAATAATAAATTCAACAGACCTTGATCTCTGAGTGCTTTTCTTCATTCGTATCACTATTAATCGTCATTTATTCATGCGCCTCACCCCTCAGAGGGGTTTAAATGTTTCACTGCCTCCGTGTAAACGGACATGACTCTATTAAAGCTATCTGGATTGTAGAGAGATGCATAAGGGGCAAAAAGATACACTGCTTAGGTGAAGCCTTTTTGTGTGTGTGTTCTGGTGCTCTAGTAACCTCTAAGCTGGACTGATGCAATGTGTTATATGTAGGGCTGCCTCTGAAGACGGTTCGGAAACTTCAGCTGGTGCAGAATTTGGCAGCCAGGTTGCTCGCTGGTGAAAGATGGTTTGAGCATGTTACACCAATCCTGGTCCTGACTGCATCAACTGCCAATTAGCTTCCAGGCCCAATTCAAAGTGCTGGTTTTGACCTATAAAGCCTTAAACGACTCAGGGCCGTCTCTCCCCATATAAGTCATCCTGAACTCTGTGTTCATCATCTGAGGCCATTCTTCATGTGCCTCCTCCACAAGAGGCCTGGAGAACGGCAACACGAGAATCTTTCCCCACTGATAATGCTGTTACAAGCATTACTATTTGTTAATTGTTCGCCTTTTTCTGAAACTCAATCAAGCACAATTCACAGACACACAAAACCTGCCAGTTGGCACCTACTTCAATTGCATCATGTTTTGTGGATTTGATTTTCCATAACTAAAATAAGCATTCTGACCCCACTCCACAATGAACAAGTTTAGATGGAAGCTTTGCAGTGAGCGTGGCAGAAACTGAGTAAGCCCTGGATCTGTTAACAGTCTTAATTCTATTTTTTTCCTCGGATGCAACATCTGGCGGCTTTCTGTCACCTTCACTTGATGTTTCCTTCCAGCTTTGCATTGTTATGCGTGCCACGCTGACACAAGCAACTGTCAACACATCTGCCTCAGTGACCCCAAAGTGCTGTGTTGTTGCCTCCCTTCAAAGCGCCATCGTGTGGTTTCAGCTGTGATCTTAAACTCATTTATCAGCACAACCTACCTGGCGCTTTCAGTGGGACTTGCCTGTAGAATTTGAAACGGCCACATTCAGACATCTTTGTTATTCTGAAGAGTGTAGGGAAGACCCCAGCCGTAATTGGCTTCTGTCTAAATCAACACAGCCAAAAGACTTAAAAACCAGGGATGGAAACGCCGCCTTGTTGAATCTCATATCGCACAGCATAACCGCTGGTCCTCCGTCCTCTCCCAGCCGCACATGCCCTCATATCACAAACCCACAAATGGGCATGCCAGACCATGAGACTGGGGAGCAGGTGCCTCATATAAATGATGCGAGTGGAGCAAACAGACCTAGATGACTCAAGGAGGAAAAGCCAAATGATGCATTTGAAAGGGAATAAAAAGCAAAAAAATCAACTTCAGAACAGCAAAGGCTGATCCATGCGGGTGAATGGAGCATTGCCCCCAACCAAGCTCAGCCTTCCCTCAGCCACACCCCGCCAGCCTGCTTGCCCACCTGTCTACTTACAAACCAGCCCAGAAGATGGCCCTGCCTGCCAGCTTCTTCTTCCTCGATGTTGTTCTTGTAAAACTCATCCGGGAGGAGAATGAGGCCAAAATGTTGGTCTCCCTGTCGTTGGCTTGACCAGCCCCAATGGGCACCAGCCACCACTGTTTTCAGATCAGAGCTCTGCTGTCTGTTTCAATTTCTAGACTGTAATCCCACCGGAGCAGAGACTTGTCCTCTCCTCCTTTAGTAGAGCACCCTATACTTTATGATTATCGGCTTGTGGCAACACGGAGGTGGGCTTTTCCACTGACGGCGCAAGTGTTGTGGAAAGCTCTCCCTGCAGAAATGCAAGAGGCTGTTCAAGACACTCGTTCTGGCAAGCATCCCCCTGATTCCCTGACTCGAACCTCTTGTATTAATTGTTTATAATTGCTGCAGTAACTGTTTCGATGGTGTTGTTTTTAATGGGCTCGTTTTTATTGCGGATGTTTGTTTTAGTGATTCAGTGGAATTCTTTTATTGTGCATTTTAATTGTGCATTTTTGCAGTTGGTTTTATACCTGTAAACAGTGCTTTTTTCTGGGGGGACACAGGGGTACGCATACCCCTAAACATTTTGTGACTCTAACAGGAGAAGAAACTTTTAAAAATTAAAAAAAATAGTTTCTTCTCTAGCATGGTGAATTGTCCATTCCGTTGCGACCCCCGATGGTGGCCTCATTTCCTGTCACGGTGTTTCCTGATTCTCAGATGGAAGCGGGCGTTTAATGTGTGAAGTAGGAGTTGGAATCTAGGATGGTGATTGGTCACTTTCGTTGTTACCACCTCCAATGGCGGCTTCATTTCCTTCCCCAGTGCAATGCATGTTCTTTGTACTTTTGTCCATTTACTGTATTTATTTTTCGCGATTTGAACTATAAAATGGTGATTTTTTTATTAATCAAAATGAGAGTACCCCTAAACATTTTTTTAGGAGAAAAAAGCACTGCTTGTAAACACCACTTAGAAGCTGCATTGGCAACTGAGTGGCATATAAACAAATCGCTAATCATTGTGATCCATGGATGGCAGAATAAAAGAAATGTAATTTTAACAAGGGCAGGTTTTAACCTCCGAATTATCCTCCCTGTATTTCCATCTCCACCCATCCCCAGGTCCTCCACTCAATCTTAATTGCAGCAAATCTTCTTTTCCTCCTGCTCTGGAGCACATGAGTGCCGCTGTATCTCTCTGCCACTCTTCTTGGAATTGATGAGCCGCTAGGCCAACCCCGCACTCTCCTGGCTTCGAAAGCAATTTGTCCCGAGCCTGAAATTTAAACAATAGAGATTCATTTAAAGCTAGATAATATACCACCTCTCTTACCGATTTAACATGCTCTCGCGGCAGACAAAGATGGAAATTGAGAGTGACACGCCGTGAATAAACTATCCCCAAACGTACAGTTGGCAGCTGTAATTTTATCAAAAGGCTTTGCGGTGAATATAAACAGTGTTTCTAAAAAATGCGAGCTCTAATAACTGTTGTCCTTTATGCCTACAACAGGCTGTGTTTTACTAGCAGTTATCATACTATCGGCTCAGCAGCACCGATGCAGGACAATTGCTTTAACCACGCGGGGACTTATTGACTGATACTTCTCCCCCAGCCAGGCTCATTTGCATGGAGGAGAGCAAGAAATTGCCTGCCCATCTTCAACACCTCGAGATGCCCACAGGGGGTCATGACCAGTAGAGGCTGGTGCATTAGGGCAAAGGGGGCACCGCTCCACCAAAATCAGACTGCCCTCAGCCAGCCTCCGCCTGCCTGCCTGCCTGCCTTCTTGTTTATATCCAGTCCAGGGGAGCTGACCTGGTTGTCAGTTTCTTCTTCCTCCTCCTCCTCTTCCTCCTCCTCCTAAGCCTCAGTGTTGCCCTTGTAGACTCAGCAATGAGGAGGAGGATGGGTCCAAAAATATAATTAGTTGACTCTGTCCAGGCATGCAAGCTACAGGGGACCAAAGGGTCTTCGGCCCCCTGAATATCTGGGGGCAAGGGGCTGGGGGCCCTGAATATTGAGGGGGTGCAGAAGGGCAAGTGCAGAGGCTCCTGTCAACAGTTGGCCTTCCCAATGTGCCAAGATCCAAGGGTCACACTGGATGGCTGGATCTTTGGCATCCTGGCACAACCCTGCTGACGAGAGCACCGGTGCTGCATGTTGTGTGTGTGTGACATCATGTCACAGGCCCGCTCAATGTTGGGCACAACTTGGTGCCTTGGACTGAAGCGATGATCCCCCTTTCACACAGTCCCTTCAGACATTATTTAATTTTATGCGCATTCAAGACTTTCAAAGTGTCCGCCTAAAGTGCAAACATAATAAATCTTCCTCCTCCTCCTCCTCCTCCTCCTCCTCCTTCTTCTTCTTCTTCTTCTTCTTCTTTGGCGATCACTCGAGGCCGAGTAAGATTGTCTTCCATGAACATGATCTTAATGGTGAGTCCGAAGTGACTGTGGAGGCCAATTCTGAATCCACATGTCCTTCCACAGTGGGGACATAGGTTTCCAAGCGGGAGTTAATCACTGTGAGGGTTTGCCAAGCGTGCCTTCCTCTTAGCACGTTTCTCCTTTTTGTCCTGCGTTTGAGCATTTTCAAAGCCCATGACACCTTTAGTAAAGGCTGCTCTCCAATTGGAGCGCTCTCAGGCCAATGTTTCCCAGTTGTTTATACTAAAAAAATTTAGCTTTGCCTTGAGACAGTCTTTAAACCTCTTTTGTTGACCACCAGCATTACACTTTCCATTTTTAAGTACAGAATAGAGTAGTTGCTTTGGAAGACAATAATCAGGCATTCGCACAACATGACCAGTCCAACGAAGCTGATGTTGAAGAATCTTAACAGTTTGCAAGCACATGTAACCCTACAGATGCAGACATCAGAGTTTCAGGACTGGCAAAATTCTCTGGGTCATAATAAAGATCACTGCCTGGGCCTTGGTCCTTTGGAAAGGCTGCAGTTCCATGGTATTGATCTTGCATTGCATGAGGAAAGCCCCAGGTTCCATCCCTGGTGTTGCCAGATATGTAAGGCTGAGAAAGACTGTTTGCTGGGACCCTGGAGCAGAGGCGCCATCTTCCAAAGTGCGTTGAGGGAGCCCAATGCAACGTCCGAACATCACACATGCAATGTCTCATGATGCCCTGACGTTGCTTCACGCCTAGCTCCATGTTCAGCCTCAACAATGGGGGGGGACCCCTAAAAAAATAAAAGATTGAGAGTGCCCAAAGAGCTTTAGCCCCCTGGAGCTGGCTTCAATTTAGGGAGTTAAGAAGGCATTGTTTTCCACTCCACCCTGTGCTCATCACCTGCATAGCTGTTTCCATTCTGCTGCAGTTCATCGTCTGTGCGACCCTACATTATTTCTCACACTGTCCACTGTAGCAAAATGATGTGACCATGGAATCAGTTACGTAAAATTAGATAAGTTAGGTTGTCATTACAAACATTAATCCACCCCATTTGGGAAACACCTTGCAAGTGGGGCCATGTAATCAATTGTGTCTCCTATGTGCACTGAAAGCAGCAGTGCAAGCAAATACCTATTGGAATGATTTCCATTCTAGACACTGAAGGAATAAGAGAACATCAACTATTTCTGCTCCCGCTTCTGTTTTCATTGGAATTTTTCAGCATCGCAACTTCTCTTGCAATCTAATGTATACGTACCAAGGCAGAACTATTGACTTACTTCTGAGTAAATGTGCTTACATTGCATTTTAATCCTGCTCTTCCTCCAAGAGCTCAGAGCAGTTTGCAAGGCAGAGCAAGGGAACTGGCCTAAAAGATGCCAATTTCTCCAGGGCAAGAATCCCATTTGCATTGTCTATAGGGATGGATTACGTTTTTTCTCTCTCCCTTTCTCCAGAGGTGTACTGTGACACCTGGATTTATCCTCGCAATAACTCTATAAAGTATTTTGGAGAGACTGCCCCAGTGAATTTGAATTTGAACTCTAACCTGGATGTCCCGGGTTTTAATCCAGCGCTCTAACCACTACAGCACACTGCCTTAGGACAAAGCTGTTAATCAGCAGTCAGGCAGATCTTTGATTTACAAAAGCACACAAGGAAGAAGAAAGAAAGGGAACAGCAGCTCACTGAATATGCATACAAATAATATGTGACACGAATATAGAATACCTGGTTAAGTCATTTCTCCGACAATTAAATGAGGCCCATGGGTTACATCTATTTCAATAGCTTTGATCAGAAACTTAAGGAGAAGAAGAAAAAAGCCCTCCAAAGCAGCATTTAATGCAGTTTGTACCTGACAGCTCTGATGTGAACGAACCAAAACAGCCACATTTAATCCTGCTCAGCCACTGATGCAACACACTGAGGCGGGATGTGTCAGGTGGGCTGCAGTCCGTGGGGAAATGGCCAGGGGGGAGGAGATGGTTTTGGCCAAATAGACCAGTTCCTGCGGATCCCAAGGGGAAAAGGACTGTGGTGCTCATGCTGTGCTTCCAGGTTTCTGAGAAGCATCTATTTCAGGCATAGGCAAACTTGGCCCTCCAGATGTTTGGGGACTACAACTCCCATCATCTCTAGCTAACAGGACCAGTGGTCGGGGATGATGGGAGTTGTGGTCCCAAAGCATCTGGAGGGCTGAGGTTGCCTATGCCTGATCTATTTGGCCATGAGAAACAGGACACTGGACTAGATGAGACTTTGTTCTGATCCAGCAGAGGTCGCTTTATATCAGGGGTCAGCAAACAACCCAGAGATGCATTTTAAATAAAAGGACACATTCTACTCATGTAAAAACACGCTGATTCCCGGACTGTCCACAGCCAGATTTAGAAGGTGAGTGGGCTGGATCCGGCCCCCGAGCCTTAGTTTGCCTACCCATGCTTTATATGTTTATGAAGGGGAGGCATGGAAGAAAGGTAGTGTGGCACAGTCACTGGCGGAGGAAGGGGATGCGGTGGGTCCGGTCCACCCCGGGTGTCATCCCTGAGGGGGGTGACATCACCACGCTGCCTCCCTGGGACGCTCGCCATGGACAGCACCCCCCAGGATGCTTGATGCGGGCAGCACCCCCATGGGCACAGCATGTGCGCCGCTCCGGGTGCCAGAGCAGCTAGCTCCGCCTCTGGGCACAGTCACTTCAGGGATCTGAACAAGAAACAAATGGCCCCATCTGCATTATACATTTAAAGCAGTATCATGCCACTATAAGCAGTCGTGCCTTTCTCCCAAAGAACCCTGGGTAGTGTAGTTTGTTTGGTTTCCCCCAAAAAATTTGTTTATTTGATTTTCCATATTAGAATTTACACTCATACCACAACATATTATATAAAAACAAGATTCCCATGAATCTCCTAGACTTCCCTCCTCCCTTTTGTAGGTCTTATTGTTAAACCTTTCCTGCTGCATCTTTTATCATTATCCAATTTTTTATATCTCCAATGTATCCATAGTCCTCGATACATTACAAGTGTCTCACTGCAATCCCGCTAATGTTTTTAACTGTTTACAGTGGTTTTTAAGCTAAATTCTAAATCCCCCTCATTCCTTATTAAAGTTATTAAAGTGTTGGTGCTGACCTTTCAAGCCCTAAACGGCCTCGGTCCAGTATACCTGAAGGAGCGTCTCCACCTCCATCGTTCTGCCCGGACACTGAGGTCCAGCGCCGAGGGCCTTCTGGCAGTTCCCTCGCTGCGAGAAGCCAAGTTACAGGGAACCAGGCAGAGGGCCTTCTCAGTAGTGGCACCCGCCCTGTGGAACGCTCTCCCACCAGATGTCAAAGAGAAAAATAACTACCAAACTTTTAGAAGACATCTGAAGGCAGCCCTCTTTAGGGAAGCTTTTAATGTTTGATGTATTACAGTATTTTAATATTTTGTTGGAAGCTGCCCAGAGTGGCTCGGGAAACCCAGCCAGATGGGTGGGGTATAATAATAAATTATTATTATTATTATTATTATTATTATTATTATTATTATTCCTGATTTCTGAGTTTTCCCGTCATTTTTGCCATTTCAGCATAGTCCATCAAGTGTAGTTTGTTGAGGGTGCTCAGAGTTCTTAGAAGACCCCAATATTCCCCTCCCAGAGCTACATTTCCAAGAGTTCCCAGTGAAGAGGGATTGGTTGTTAAGTAGCTCTGGGAATAAGGGTCTCCTGGCAACACTCTAGACAAACTACATTTCCCAGGATTCTTGTAGGGGAAGCCATGGCTTTTTAAAGTAGTAAGATACTGCTTTATATTCATTGGTTATATCAAGAACTGTGCACATAGGCAGATACCTCACACTGAACTGCTGCAAAGGAGAGGAATTGTAGGAGCTGGATTTTTTTCCAGGGGGAGGGGGCAGCGAGGAAGAACAGTAAAGTTTTATATATTAAAAACTCTCCTTCAATATCTTGTCAACAATTCAGTGTTACTAGGCCTGTCACAATGATCTATAGCCCTTGGCTAGCACTGTAATATAGGCTAAATTGCCCAAGTCAGAGGCAGCGACAGAGTCGTTCCACAGGAAATTGGAAATCAATTCCTGTCATCAATGTACATTAACTTCTTTATCAGTTTCCAGAACATCCATGTAACACAAGAGACTGAAGCTGTGGGCTGGCAAATCATGACGAGGGCAATTCACGGTGGTGAAGAAATAGGCACGAAACACACAAAGGAGTTGTCCTGGTGTTATAGTATCTGAGTGGATCGCAGGCTAGGGAAGTTATCTCACACCTCATTGTCACTGAAGGGTGCCAATTCCCTGTGCCAATTCAGACTTCAGGTAAGAGCTCAAGATCAAGGGAAGTCACAGACCCCACCTGGAGTCCTGTGTCCAGTTCTGAGCACCACAGTTGAAGAGGGATATTGACAAGCTGGAAGGTGCACAGAGGAGGGCGACCAAGGTGATCCAGAAACCAAGCCTTATGAGGAACGGTTGAAGGAGCTGGGTATGTTTAGCTTGGGAAAGAGGAGATATGATCACAACCTTCCAATATTCTCAAGGGTTGTCCCACAAAACATGAAGCAAGATTGTTTTCTCCTGCTCCAGAGGGGAGGACTTGAAACAAAGGATTCAAATGACAAGAAAGTTCAATCCGACGAGACATAAGGAAGAACGTTCGGACGGTGATTTCTGTTCAACATGGAACTGACTACCTCGGAAGGTGGTGGTTTCTCCTTCAATGTAGGTTTCTAAACAGAGGTAGGATGGCTGTCTGTTGTGGGGGTTCACTGTGATTCCTTTTTTGCAGAGAGTTGAACCAGATGACATTTTGGGTCCCTTCTAAATCTACTATTCCTGGTCCTATGATCCTATGCGTCCAGGGCTTTACAGTGGTACCTCGGGTTATGTACTTAATTCATTCCGGAGGTCCATTCTTAACCTGAAACTGTTCTTAACCTGAAGCACCACTTTAGCTAATGGGGCCTCCTGCTGCCGCCGCACTGCCAGAGCATGGTTTCTGTTCTCATCCTGAAGCAAAGTTCTTAACCTGGGGTACTATTTCTGGATTAGCGGAGTCTGTAACCTGAAGCGTCTGTAACCTGAAGCGTCTGTAACCCGAGGTACCACTGTATTTGGTAGGCTGCTGCTTTGACAGTTGGGTGGGTGATTGGCTGCTGGGACATGGACGGGGCTTATTTGAGCAGGAGATTGTCTGCAGTAGCGCTGTTAGTGTGGGTGGTTGGTGGCGTCCATGGCTTTATCCAGCTGCTGTTGTGGCAATTGGACCTTAGTTTGGTGGCTGCCCCCTCCCCCCAAAAATCTCAATAAGTGAGGAGGCTATCCTCCGCAATAAAAAGTAGCTGAACAACTCTTGGGGTGGCGTTGGAACAGTATTTTGGCATGTGTGCAGTAGCGGAGGTCAGATGGGTGAGCGTATTTGGCAACATTTCCCCTAAAAAAGTCTCAACAACTCAGGTCCACCCCCCCCACCACCAAAAAAAGCTCAACAGCTCTGGGCAATCTTCCCCCTTTTTCTTAAGTTGGAGTCCCCAAAAATAGGGGGCATCTTATACATGGGAGCGTGTTATACATGGAAAAATACGGTAAATTAAAACAGGCCACAGAAATCCATGGAAGAGGCTACCATGCTTCTAAAGAAAAGATGCCCCCCTCCCCAAGGCATCACCTGGTGCTCTCCATCGCCACAAAGCAAATTTCCTTTCCACATCTCTGCAAGCCACAGCTGGGAGTTCCCCCAGGTGATGAAACCAAGGCTGGACTCACATTTGCCGACCACGTTTCTGTCTAACTCAAATGAAGGTTCAGCGGCAATTGAATGCCAGGGAGAGAGTGTCAGTAGAATTGTACATTTCAGATAGCAATGAGGATTTATGTAAAGCAACAGCGCCGTCACCTGGTGGAAAACAGGTTGCGACAGTGGCGGTTTAACAGCATTTTATTGCCATAATGAGGTGCAAGGGAGTGTGGTGTCTTTTTTGTTATCTATTTTTACAAGTGTAGAAGCATTTGTTAAATAATGGGGGCAACGTTTCACTACCTGCGATATTTTTAAAAGAAATAAACAATCAAGCTTTTATATTCATTCATTTCATTTCATTGATGCGATGTACAATAAAATGATTGAAATACAATAGCACCCGGCTGAGGGAGAGGATTAAAATATTCTAGGGACAGTCCTGAATTTACAGAAGCCATCCCGGTTTCTGATTTGATCCCAGAATCCCTATTTTCATTCAAGAAATGTTGGAGAGTATGGAGTTATGCACACCAGACAAAGCATTGCCAACTGATGACCAGCTGTGTAAGAAGCAGCCAAAGACACGGGAGCCTGGCCAAACCAACAAGCTGGCCGACTCTAATGAACTCCTGATGCACTCCCTTTTCTCCAGGACATTGTCAGGCTTCAGGGAATCCCTCCCACGGTGGCAGCCAAGAAGTAGATAAACAAGAAGAGATCTTACCAATTCTTTTATTCAATATTCACAGAGAGAGAATGTAGAAATACCGTCTCTCTTAGATAATGGTGTTGCTCCGAGTAAAGTCCCACCCCCTCAGCCCCTCCTATTCTATGTCACCCTTGAGCCGGCTGATCTGTGTTTTCTGCCTCTGAGCTTTCTGTTCTTCTACTCTCAATCAGTGGCGTCACAATGGGGGAGGCAGTGCGCCCCGGGTGCCATGTCTGGGGGGGTGACAAGAAGGCACCCTGCGGGGGCACAAGCAGCCATCGCGCCGCCGCAGCCGCATGTGGAGGAACCTCTGTTGCGGCTGCAGCCACAAGCAGAGGATCCCGGCCCTGGCGGAAAACCGCTACGTACAGTGCATGTGCGACGTCGCACACATGCGCTGTACATAACGATGCTGCACATGCGTTGTACATAGCAGTTTGCCGCCAGCACCTCTCAAGCGATGTACGGATGGCGGTGGGATCCCTCCATCGCCGCTACAGCCGCCTGTAGAGGATCCTCCATTCACAGTTGTAGCGGTGACTGAGGGATCCCAGCACCGTCCGTATGGCGCTGGAGCAGCGTCACCGGCAAACCGGTGTGTGCAGCGCATGTGCGGCGTCACTACATACTGCACATGCGTCATACTTAGCGACGCTGCACATGCGCTCTATGTAGCAATGCCCAGCCCTGGGTGTCATGACACTTTTGTTCGCTCCTGCTCTCAGTGCCCGCCTGGTCCTGGGAGAGGGGGGTCAGGAATGCTTTCTAAAGACACCGAGTCTGTCAGTTGTCTCTCCCCTAGTGCTTCTTCTTCTTCCTGCTCCTCTTCCAATATTTCCCAGCTTCTACCCTCTGCAGCCTCTGAACTATGACCTTCCACAAACCACTATTCTAAATCTATACTGTTCCCTTCTCGGGAGGAGGGGGCCGGTCCCCACCATTCCTCCTCAGTCCAGTCCCTGACAGACATTTCCTCTCGCACCTTTCGCTTGAAATACGAAGGAAGGATTATTCTCTTTCTCCTGGGGTCATTAAACCTCTTGCTATGATATACAGGCCATGCCCTGAATTTGCAGAGGCCATCGAACCTTCGCGTAGCTGGAGTTTAATATGTATCAATCATCTGCTTTTAGAGGTACTTAAATTTTAGTGATCCCAAGCCAGCACTGCCGTTTTGCTGTCTCCATTCGTTTCCACCTGGGCTGTTAATACAAATTTAAACAGGTAGCTCAGAGATCAATACTGCCCGACAGATCGGGGATTGAACTAAGCTATAGATCAATACTGTAGAGCCTAGTCGGCCGGCAGGAGAACCTGCATTCCCCAACAGGCTGTGGATTTATACACAACAACCTTGTCCCATTTGTAATGCACAGAAATGTTCGCGGCTTCTATTACGGCCCAGGGTCCCCTCCCCAGCCCCCCAGCCTGCAAAAGCAATGACAGATAGACATAATAACACAAGGCCAATTAGTCATTGTGACGAACAGCCCCTACTTGCAGCTCGGCGCAAACTTAAGTCAGGTGGGGAGCTCGATGACTAATGGGCCACTGGGAAGAAGATGGCAGGTCCTAGTAGGCTTGCAAAAATAGTCGTGCCGGCGAATAATTCTCTCTCCTACCTAGGACAAAGAAGGACAGAGAATCTAAAAACGCCTCCTCAAGGACTCAGGAAGAGGGGGCAAGCTTGTTTTCTCCTGCTCCCGGGGGGTAGGGCTCGAACCCAAGGCTTCAAGTTACAAGAAAGGTGATTCCGACTAAACATACGGAAAAACTTTCTGACAGTAAGAGCTGTTTGACAGTGAAATGGTCTCCCTTGGGGACTGTCCTTCCTTGAAGGTTTTTAAGCAGAGGTTGGAGGGCCATCTGTCATGGATGCTCTAGCTGAGATTCCTGCATTGCAGGGGGTCAGACTAGATGATACTCGGGGTCCCTTCCAACTCTACGATTCTATGATTCAAAGGTGTTAAGGGCTTTAAATACTAACACCTAGAAGAAGTTTGTGGATTTCAGCTTGGAGTTTCAAAACTCTCCCTGAATTCAGAGTTCCAAATTATCTGGTTCCTGACTCCAAAGTGGCCCTTCCTTCCTTCCTTCCTTCCTTCCTTCCTTCCTTCCTTTATAGCCCACATTTTCTCCCAGGAGCTCAATGTGACACGCATAGTTCCCCCTCACCCTGTTTCATCCTCACAAGAACCCTCAGAGGTAGGTCAGTAGTGACTGGGCCCTGGCAGCTCAGCTTGTCTCTTGGCCAAGTGGTGGCTTGGAACTCTGGTCTCCCCAGTCCATGTCCAACACTCTAACCACTAGGCTGCAGCAGTTCACATCAAGAATCCAAGACCAGGGTCGTCATCAGTGGTTGGCAACGCTGGGCTTCGCCAGAGGCCCATGCCCCTGTCATGGGTCCACAACCAGTCCCTGGAACCTGCTGGCCTTGGTACTGCTCATTCTTCCTGCTGCCACCTGTTCACCTACCCAGTGGTGGCTGCTGCCCATTGGAGCTGGTGGGGTGCAAGATAGGGAGACCAACAGTGGGTGGAGCTAGAGACAATGGAAGGCAGAGCCACCCTCTGATTGGCTGCAAGTAAGTGGAGATTGGTTGAGTCAGGGTCAGCCCAGGACATTTTGCCACTTGAGGCGACATCTTGCTGCCTCTGCTGCTCCTGCCTCCTCTACCCTGCCCCCCTACTTCAGGCCATGTACAGAGCAGGGTGGCATTCAGTTAAACATACAGTGGGAAAATTCCCTCAGAACTACACAGCCAATCAGAGCACTCTGCCTGGTTCCTAAGGAACGCCTCCACACACACACACCCTCCTAGCCAGTGGTTTCAACGCCAGCAGAAGTAACTCCAAAGTTACAAACAGAACGAGCTCTTCTGTTGCACTTTGAACCTGCACTCACAGCTACAAGACAGAGAAACACACACACTCACAAAGAATTCAGGCAAAGATACCTGACTTCTTTCTGATTTAAAAAAACAACAACATGCAGAGATTTGATTACAGGTTAAATCTGAAGCCACATCTAGTTTTACCCAAAGCAAATAGGCTAGTTTAGAATGTGGGCAGGAGTTGCTGGCATAGTAACCTAAACTGGGGTGAAGGCCACATTTCCCTCAAATTTTGGCCACCCCCTTGAAACAACAGAGGCTCCTTTTTCTGCCAAGGCCCTGTTAGATGAGCTTCCAAGTTGGCACCCGCCTCAATCATCCACACTGCTGCAACAGACCAATCTGGATCAGCAACCTCTTCCAAAATTATGCTGTCCATGCCTGGTGTTGTTTTCTGTGGAGAAGCCCATTGAAGAAGTGGAGTTTTCAGACATACTCCCTTCCCTTTGGGAGCAGGTTTGAGAGCTCTGACCAAACACACACACACACACGTCGTGACACTACTCTGGCCCACTTTCATGCTCCTGACAAATGCATTTAATGCTCTACATAGCCACCTGGCTGCTGTTCACTTCCGCCGCCAGCTGTTGGGATGGCAGCATGCCAGCTCTGTCCACGGGCACTGCCTTGTGTACCTCATGCCCAGAACTGCAAAAGCAACATTTCTTGGGTAGCAAAATGGCATATGGATTGCAATCTTGCAAGCAAGCGGCATACAAAGAACGCAAGGTGAAGACAGACAAGACCTGCTCAGAGGACACATATGGGGCCAAAGGGAGACAGAAGAGCAAGGCAACTAAACCAACACTGCCACCACCCTGGAAGATCCCCACCCAATGTGTTTGCAGAACCAAGGGGCCTCTTGTACCCTGACCCAGCCAGAACCCTCCAGGACCAGGGATGGAAGTGGTTTTTTCTTTTGGTTTGTGTTTGGCAGTGAAAACGTTCCATCTTGTAGCCCTCTGGGTGTCAGGCTTCAGGGAATCCGATCCCCCTCCCTCGCGGCAGTAATGGAAAGACAAGAAGCTCTTACCAAAGTATTATATTCAATATTCACAGAGTGAGACATAGAACGCCATCTCTTGGATAATGGCGATGCTCCGAGTTATCTCCTCCCCCCCCTTCCCTTCTCAGTCATCAACAACCCCACCTCCCTTACGGTGTCTGCTTAGGGACAATTGCCTCTGGGCTCTCGGCTCTCCTACTTTCATTGCTCGCCATGTTCTGGGAGAATGGGGGTCTGGAATACTCTCTAGTGATAATGTGTCAGCCAGCTGTTCCTGCTCTGCTTCTCCCATTATCTCCCAGCTTTGCCCCTCTTCTATCTCTGAGCTGTGACCCTCTGCAAACCACCGTTGTTAATCTATACAGTGGTACCTCAGGTACGAACTTAATTCGTTCGGGAGGTCCGTTGTTAACCCAAAACCGTTCTTAACCTGAGGCGCGCTTTTGCTAACGGGGGCTCCCACAGCCGCCGCGCCGCCGCTGCACAATTTCCGTTCTCATCCTGGGGCAAAGTTCTCAACCCGAGGTACTACTTCCAGGTTAGCGGAGTTTGTAACCCGAAGTGTTTGTAACCCAAGGTGTTTGTAACCTGAGGTACCACTGTACTGTCCTCCTCTTCTCAGGAAGGTTCAGGAGAAGGGGGAGGCCATCTCCACCATTCCTCCTCTGATGTCCAGTCCCTGGCACTGGGAGGAGGCACCCTAAACCAAAGAGTTCTATCTACATGACCCTTTATTGTTTCTGCAGCAACATCTTGTCCTGCTCAGCATCTAGGTCTGCAGGAATCCTCAGCTGGAGACCTGAGATTGGCTCCTTGCCATGTTAACAGCTCCACATATTCATTATGAGCAAGAAATAAGGCTAAGTGGTGTCTAGCAACCCCCCCTCTAGGGCCCGGAGGGGGGGAGAGTGCAATCTCCAAAGGCTGATCAATCGCCAAATGACTGATATTTGTGGAATACGGTTTATCTACATTGCAATATTGCAAACAGTTTTGCCTAACAATTTAATAATGATAATAATAATAGTAATAATAAATTTTATTTATATCCCGCCCTCCCCAGCCAAAGCCGGGCTCAGGGCGGCTAACAACAATAAAACAGTACAAAAGTACAGCACAAACAACACTCTAAAATCATTCATTATAAAATTAATTCGTATCAAGCCACTGGCAACCATTGGGCCAGAGCTCCGCGAAGATTGCCAAGGGAGGGAGTCAGGCTGTGCCCTGGCCAAAGGCCTGGTGGAACAGCTCTGTCTTGCAGGCCCTGCAGAAAGATGTCAAGTCCCGCAGGGCCCTAGTCTCTTGTGACAGAGTGTTCCACCAGATCGGAGCCACAGCCGAAAAGCCCTGGCTCTAGTTGAGGCCAGCCTAACTTCTCTGTGGCCTGGGACCTTCAAGATGTTTTTATTTGAAGACCGTAAGTTTCTCTGTGGGGCATACCAGGAGAGGCGGTCCCGTAGGTACGAGGGTCCTAGGCCGTATAGGGCTTTAAAGGTTAAAACCAGCACCTTAATCCTGATCTTGTACTCCACCGGGAGCCAGTGCAGCTGGTATAGCACCGGGTGAATGTGATCTCGCAGCGAAGACCCCATAAGGAGTCTCGCTGCAGCATTCTGCACCCGCTGGAGTTTCTGGGTCAGTCTCAAGGGCAGCCCCACGTAGAGCGAGTTACAATAATCCAGTCTGGAGGTGACCGTCGCGTGGATCACAGTGGCTAGGTCAGGGCGAGAGATTTAAGGAGCCAACTGCTTAGCTTGGCGGAGATGGAAAAATGCCGCCTTTGTTATAGCTGCAATCTGTTCCTCCATGGAAAGGGAGGTGTCGAAGATTACACCCAAACTCTTAACGGATGGTGCTGGCACTAATTGTGCCCCCGCAAGAGATGGGAGTTGCCCCCCCAATCCGATATCATCCCGTCCCAGCCACAGGACCTCTGTCTTCGAAGGATTTAGCTTCAACCGGCTCCCACGTAACCATCCAGCCACAGCTTCCAAACATCTGGTCAGTGTGTCTGGGGCCGAGTCAGGATGGCCACCCATCAACAGATAGAGTTGGGTGTCATCGGCATACTGATGGCAACCCAGCCCAAAACTCCGGACAAGCTGGGCTAGGGGGCGCATAAAGATGTTGAACCTTAACTTGGAAGGTACAGTGGTACCTCGGGTTACATACTCTTCAGGTTACATACGCTTCAGGTTACATACGCTTCAGGTTACAGACTTCACTAACCCAGAAATAGTACCTCGGGTTAAGAACTTTGCTTCAGGATGAGAACAGAAATCGCATGATGGCAGCGCAGCGGCAGTGGGAGGCCCCATTAGCTAAAGTGGTCTTCAGGTTAAGAACAGTTTCAGGTTAAGAACGGACCTCCGGAACGAATTAAGTACTTAACTCGAGGTGCCACTGTACTGGTTTAATAAAGCTGAAAAGGAAGGTTTGGACAATTAATGATTGGGAGTTGCTGCACCATTAAACTTCAGATAACAGACTTGGACAACATCCCAGATTTGAATGGAGTCAGAGGAAGCTGAGCTGATAAAAAGGCAGTTGGAAAAATATATGCTAATAAAACTGTATTCGACGGATGAAAGTATATGATGTTTGACATGATTGAGAATCGTGGACTCAGGGATGGAGAATTATAAAGCGTCAAAATCGAGATGTGGAAAATACGGAAACGACAAGGAGAGGCAGGACTGAGATGTGGAGATATGCTTCGTGGGGAGCTCTGAAAAATTAATAATTATAATTTGGACTATAATTTGGTCTTTTTTATTTTAGTTTTTTATGTTAATTGGAGTATTATGATTTGATATATTAATTGGATGTTTTTGATTGGAAAATCAATAAAAATGATTTTTTTAAAAACAGCTCCACAACCATGCCGATAAGATGGTGAATCCAAGCCAGCAGCCACAAGATACCACCAGAGGTTCTTTAAAATAAAATAACCTGAGTTGGCAGACAAGGATGTAACCAGGGGATGATGGAGATTTCCTTTTCCCGTCTGTATTTTGAAATGGACGGACCTTATTTGCATTTCCTGTACTGATGCAAATCGCAACACAATTTTCCTCCCCCAGTTTGCATGATCTACACCTTGAATCAAACCTGGCGCTCAACAAATGCATAAACATTAAATACAATTTTTGTGCTTTAAAAAAAAAATTGCAGCAAATGGGATAGAACAGACTTGCAACCAGACACATGTGGCTAAGCTCTGCTTCCCTGGTCAGAGGAAGCAATACCACTTGCCAGAAACCACAAAGGTGACAGGGCTCTGGGGCTCATGTCCTGCTTATGAGCTTCCCACAGGAATCTGCTTGGCCACTGTGAGAAAAGGATGCTGGACTGGATTGCCTTATGTTCTTGAAATATACTCGGAGTCCTATAGTGATTTCATGCTCTTTACTGCAGCTCTTAGAAACAGTGATTGAATTGCCCCCCAAACCTCAGGCTTTTATATACACAATTTACACAATAAATCCCGTCTGATTGGCTGATTCTCCTTCCCTCCTGGAGCCTGATTGGTCTTTTCCTGCAGGCAAATCAGCTGTTGCATTCTAGGATCCTACTTGCCTATTGTTCTAGGATCCAAGCTTAGTACATAACAGTTCTTGAGCTAACAAGAACCAGAAATCAATGAATCCATCCATCCTTTACTGCAGCCAGGAGTTTTGTGGCACTTCCAGGCATCTTTCTTTTAAAATACTTCAGAGCCAACGCACAAAGAAGGGGAAGACTTTGGCAAGAAACTCCTGCGACCCAATTAGTTCAGCTGGCAAACTTGCCACCACCGCCAACGCCCCAACCCCCTTGGAAGCATGGGAGTGACTTTTAAAAAAAGAAAAAAGAACGAACGAACTTTACAGCCATTCCCTTCCCAAAGGCACATTATGGCCAGATCAATGGACACAAACTGAGATCATTATGTGTGACTTACCTTGCCCGTTTCTTCCTCGTTTCTGCCTCAGAGGTTCTTTTGAATGCATTCATTGGCTTCCCGGGGAATTTCATTTAATATCTTGGCAGCATACTCAATTCTTCCTGTCATATCCTTGAGGCAATCCTATAAATAAAGGCCAGCGCATCTCATTACGCGACTCAGCAAAAGAGCTCTGTGAACAAGCTGCCTGGGCGCTCTGGCCCCATCGAGGACGCAAAGTATGGTCTGGGGTGTATCGCTGAAGGTTGCAGTGGGGAAAACTCAATGTGGGTGAAGTCTCTTCCTTGGACAACACTCCCCGCACCTAGAAAAGCAGCACATCAAGAAGAGTTTGAGTCTAGCTTTCTCTCGGGCACATTTGTTGCCCCCTCTGCGCAAAACCGTTCCCTGCACTTAGAAAACTAGTGAGGCAAAAAAAGAAGTGTTTGGATCTAGCTTTCTCATAAACTTGGCCAGTTGCTCCTACATAGGGAATCACTCCCTAACCATAGAAAACTAGCAGGTCAAGGCAAAAGATTGAAGCACGACCTTCTCCCTTGGCCTCCTAGATTGAGCTTTAATACGCTAAGGTTATAATTGCACATTGTCTGAAAATGCCGCCCAGGGGAGGAGGTGTTTGTTAATTGAGCAGTAACAATTATCGTTCCCCACAGGGAATGCAGAAAATAAATAAATAAATCCTAGTGAAATGAGTTTTTTTTTAGTGGGGGTGGATAGTATTAGGAAAATGGGCATTTTGGCCCTCTGTAATGCAGATGGGGAAATTGTCCTTTGGGAACAGTATACCCTCCAACATTTCTCCAATGGAAATACAGACATCCTATCAATAATAATAATAGGAATAGGAATAATAATAATTATACCTTGCCCGTCTGACTGGGTTGCCCCAGTCACTGTGAGCGGCTTCCAACATATACAAAAACATAAGAAAACATTAAACATTTAAAAAAAAAACCCTTCCCTATACAGGGCTGCCTTCAGATGGCGGGGGGGGCAGTCTGAAAACTCCATACCCTCCAACATTTCTCCAATGAAAATAGGGACATCCTAAGGAAAAGCTAAGGGACGTGGGTGGCGCTGTGGGTTAAACCACAGAGCCTAGGACTTGCCGATCAGAAAGTCGGTGGTTCGAATCCCCATGATGGGGTGAGCTCCCATTGCTCGGTCCCTGCTCCTGCCAACCTAGCAGTTCGAAAGCATGTCAAAGTGCAAGTAAACAAATAGGTACCACTCCGGCGGGAAGGTAAACGGCATTTCCGTGCGCTGCTTTGGTTTGCCAAAAGCGATTTAGTCATGCTGGCCACATGACCCGGAAGGTGTATGCCGACTCCCTTGGCCAATAAAGCGAGATGAGCGCCACAACCCCAGAGTCGGCCACGACTAGACCTAATGGTCAGGGGTCCCTTTACCTTTACCTTTAAGGAAAAGCTGGACATTCCAGGATCAACTCAGAAACAGCTTCAATGGTGTTTTATGGAAGGTGATTGTTTGACTGATTATTTGCATTTATTCATTTATTTTACTGATAGTTTGTTAATTATTTTGTATGATTTATGTTGTAATTGTGTGATGCTGTACTATGTTATTATTTATTGTATGTGAGCCACTTTGTGACACCTGTGAGTAAAAAGAGACTTAGAACTATACAGTGGTACCTCTGGTTAAGAACTTAATTTGTTCTGGAGGTCCTTTCTTAACCTGAAACTGTTCTTAACTTGAGGTACCACTTTAGCTAATGGGGCCTCCTGCTGCCACTGCACCACCGGAGCACAATTTCTGTTCTCATCCTGAAGCAAAGTTCTTAACCCAAGGTACTATTTCTGGGTTAGTGGAGTCTGTAACCTGAAGCGTCTGTAACCCGAGGTACCACTGTAATAAATGACATGAGATGAAATGTTGAAGAGGCAGCCAGGAGGAACAGAGAGGAGTCCCCTCCACCCTCAAAATTCACCCCATGACCACAAAGACACAAAATGCGACCCTTTTGTGACCTGCTAATGGAGCTGCAAAAGCGTAAGTGTGTGTAGGATTCGCACTTGACCCTGTGTCTTGCTCTGTGCAGCTGCTTCCTCTCCAACCTGGTGGGGGACTTTCGTTAGCGTTCGGACCAGTGAAACGCCTTGGGCACCCGTCAGTTAAAGAGGTGCCTTCCGAGAGTTGCAACATTTTTAAAAAATGCAGACAATCAAAACTCCATTATATGCATTAAAAATTGATCAGCTGTGTTCTTTGCCCTCCTTTATGGCGCACTAGGGGGCAGGAACTGAGATGTGGGCTGAGGGGCCATCCATCGGTGGGAATGAATCATACCCCACCTCTCTTGGAGCGGTTAGGGGTTTCATTATGGACGTAGGTTGTTGTCCAAATCAGCATTGTCTCGTGCATAGTTATTTGTGCACACACTCTCATTTTGCAAAGAGCGTTAATGGCCGAGCCCAGATAATGGGCTGTAGAAACAGGCAGCCGATTTCTGCTCAATAACCTTCCTAGGATCTTGGAAATAATTGGAAAGGGCATTGGTTCCCAAAGGGCGAGGTCTGCCTCACAGCCAGGTCTTAGGGGTTTGTAAGAGGTCTTAGAGGTGGATCTCCATCTCTGTATTTTTTCAAAAAAGTCAAAAAATCTATTTTCTCCCTCCGACTTGATTTACCAGGTTCTGTTCTCAGAGCCAGGAGCCTGGGGTCTCGGAGACTGTCAGAGTCACATCATGTTCCTACCTCGACGACGGCTGGAGATTTCCAGTGCAGGAAGCAATTACAAAGAGCCTAGCTGATGTGTCATTCTCCCCAAGTCAAATGTTGAACTCTGTGTTACAGGGCTTGTCAAGCGAGCTCAGACTCAGACTTAGCCAGAAAGCAAGTTGTCACAGGAGAGGGATTTTAAAAATATAAAATATAAAAGTCGAGTTCACCTGCTGCTAGGCAGGCGAAGTTTTTGACAACATTGACGGATGCCGCACTTGGATAATGACACATCCTGCAGTTACCACCATGGCATACTCTCTTGCCGGCTCCGAAACCAACAAGTAGAAAGTTGCCTGAGAGAGAATGGGGCCTTTGGATTGAAAAGGGTTCCCCCTCCTTGCTCCGTTCTAAAGAGAAGGACCCCATAAAACAATTAAGTCCCAAGTCAAAACATACTTCAGTGCCAGTGGCGTAGCTTGGGTTGCCAGAGCCCAGGGCGAGGCAAGTATTGCACTCCCTGATCTAACACTGTCCAAAGCCTAGGGAGGTTAGGGCCTAAGGCACAACCCGTATCAGTGACCCCCAGGGGAGCTCCTAGTTGATGTGCATCAGCAGGACTCCCTCTCCTGGTGGTTAACTCTTCCCGGACCCCCAGCAGAAGGGCTGGAGTCAGATACAGTGGTGCCTCGCAAGACGAAATTAATCCGTTCCGCGAGTCTCTTCGTCTTGCGGTTTTTTCGTCTTGCGAAGCACGGCTATTAGCGGCTTAGCGGCTTTAAGAAAAAGGAAACAAACTCGCAAGAACTCGCAAGACGTTTCGTCTTGCGAAGCAAGCCCATAGGGAAATTCGTCTTGCGGAACGACTCAAAAAACAGGAAACTCTTTCGTCTAGCGAGTTTTTCGTCTTGCGAGGCATTCGTCTTGCGGGGCACCACTGTATAGCCAGTTAGATCCAATGCCTAAGCCAATACCGCTCATCATCTATAACCAATAAAGTTGTGGCCTTTTTTAGCCCATTAACCTTAAATATTTGAGTCATGTGTCTTTATTCAACCAAGGGGGGAGGGGTCAGGACCTTGCCACGCAACGTGGTAGTCTCATTTTGAAAGCTGTCCCAAGGAGACTGATTAATATATATGCCCACAGACAAGCTACCAGCTACTTAGCATGGCCTTCTGAGGCAGCATTTTGTGGACATACTGCATTACCTGAAATTAAAGCCGTGGACTTAATTGAAATTTACAGTCTTCATAGAGTTTTGGGTCATTCCTTATTTAAAAACGACCTGTGCGAAAATCAATTTAAATAACTTGAATTCCAGGTTCTGGTATTTAGTAGCTGTTAATTCAAATGTCTTGCCTATCCAGAGGAACATTTAATTTAACAGCTAATCATTAGAAGCTCCTATTGTCCTCAGCTCTTCTTTAAATAATAGCACCCAAATGTAATGAGGGACAGTCAGAGCTGGCCTGGTTCGCAGACAAAAAGAAGTCGCCTTGTTATGATGAAGTTGTGTTCTGGTGAAGCTACAGAGACATCTGGTGGCCACAGAATAGCAAAACACAAGAAAACTTTGCACTAGAAAACTGTGGATGCAGGCAGAGGTGCATGGATGGATGCAAACACAGGCATATATTTCCCAAACAGTACACATACAGAAAGATAGCGATAAATCAAAACTTTTCTCTTCTCTGAATTTTGCAACACAGTTTAAAATTGCATATGCTAGGGCAACTTTTGCATTAAAATCCCTATATCAGGAGTCAGCAACGTGCAGCCCATGGGCAGGATGCGGCCCACTAAGACCGTTTTACTGGCCCATGAGCCGCCCTGGAGGAGACTCTTGAGAGTCCCACGGACTGCAAGAAGATCAAACCGATCCATTCTTAAAGAAATGAGCCCTGAGTGCTCACTGGAAGGACAGATCCTGAAGCTGAGGCTCCAATACTTTGGCCACCTCATGAGAAGAGAAGACTCCCTGGAAAAGACCCTGATGTTGGGAAAGATGGAGGGCACAAGGAGAAGGGGACGACAGAGGACGAGATGGTTGGATAGTGTTCGCGAAGCTACCAGCATGAGTTTGACCAAACTGCGGGAGGCAGTGGAAGACAGGAGTGCCTGGCGTGCTCTGGTCCATGGAGAAACGAAGAGTCGGACACGACTAAACAACTAAACAACAACAACAACAAGAGCCACCCCCGAACCGAGCAGCCCGCTCGGCGAGTTCCCCGCGCACTGCGCTAAACCAGCACAGAGCATAGCTGTCAACTTTCAGATTTGAAAATAAGGGATCAGCAGCCTCGAAAATAAGGGATCAGCAGCCTCACCTGTCCCGGGGACAGTCCACGGGATATCTAACAATCCAGGATAGCAGCGTGAAGCAGCGGGAAACGGTGCTGAAATAAGGGAATTTCCCGCAAAAAAAGGGAAGGTTGATAGCTTTGGCACAGAGCGGCACAGGGACTCGCCAAGCAGCACCGGAAATCATGTCTGCGCATGCACAGATACCAGAAATCATGTCTGCGCATGTCCAGATGCCGAAAATC